CAATTCTCCAGCTGATGTATTTTGTATTTATATTTAAATTAATTTTAATTTTCTTTTTTTCCTACTTGTTCCATCACCACTCATTCGTCCTATAAGTATATTAATAGTAAAACGAGATTCCATAACTATTAGTTGGGAATCATGTAAAGATGATGACGATGAAAGTGAACTTATTGATTATGTTGTTGAAAAATATGAAGTTCAAGAAATGTTTGGCAATGCATTTGATATAATGATTCATGTACATCTACATATACAAATACAGGAGTCGTTGAAGATGTTGCACATCATTTTCATGCATATGCAGAGAATTGTGTTGGAATGTTACCAACATTAACAACAATTGATCCCATTATTGCTAAAAGTTCATATACCTATTCAGATATACCAGACGAAGGATGATTATTATTAATGGGACAAAGTGCGATAATAAACATCTTCACCTTTATTAATTTATTAAAGTTTCAAAAAGGGCTAAAAAGATTTGGTTTTGCAATTCTGATAGAGCATTAAATTGGGCATCTTTTGAACAAAAAACAGCCTTCTATCATGTACCTGAACGTAGATGCATGAAAAACAAAAAATGTTACAAAACTTTTGGCTCACCTGGTAAACAGTAAATTGACAGCATTCTTTAGAAACATGCATTTACACGTTGATGGAATTCTCGTAGTAATAAATTTTGTCATGTCTGCTTTTCAATTCCTTTTCTACTTTGATCAACAAATCGGTCAAAACTTAAATAATTGGAATTTCCGATAAGAACAACAGGAAAAGGAATTCGTTCTTGTCCAGTGTAAACGCCTCGTGAGAAAAGCATTGTGCGAATAATCGTAGAAGCGATTATTTGTTTTTTATGAGATATCAATTTTTCGATGATCGACATTCGCAGCTTCGCACTATATTTCATAATCGAGTAACACTCAAATGCTACCTAGTTGTGTTCTGTCGAACGAATACGCACATTACCGGCCAGTGTCAATAACTAAATGCTTATTTAATATGTCGTAAATATAGACCCTGTTCACACCTGAGATCAATCAAAATGCCTCGAGTTTAGCATGAAAAAGATGAGAAATTCACGATTCTTTTTTCAATATATGACTCAATTAGATTGAATCTAGAAAATCAGAAGGGACCGAAATGCATTCTTGTACGTCCCCGTAATGTAACTGTTTTGATTATTTCATTAGGTTTTCAATAAATAGCTTAATTGTATAACTGTCGTATATATACGCCGGAGATGATTTTTAAAGATAATCATATACAAATAATATTACAATTATTGAATATAAATGAAAAAGTTTTATAAAGATGTTAAGGTAACATATATCATGTTTTTATGAAATATGATTAGATTTTTAATATTCAAATAGATTATCCTGTTAATTATTCAATAATTACAAGAATTTATATGTTATTCATTCGATTAGTATAAAAAAGAAAATATGATAGCAATATTGTTTTCTTCGATAAGACTAACGAAACACTCTTTGTTGTACAGATATCTAATATGTCAATCAATTGTAATATTTCTCATTAGTAATGAAATCAAATATAGAATATAGAAAATTTACAAATTCGATTATAGATCAAATTGAGACATTTCAACTCATGGTTAAAACTAATATAAACATTTTCGGAAAAATTAATTTTTGATTTAGAATAAGTATATAAATTAAATTTTCATTAATTCAAATGTGAATTGGTACAAATTAAATTAAATCACAATGTCAAAGTCAATATATACTTTATCGAAATAAAATCATAGTTTTCATTTTATATATTAATAAGCTTCTCTAATAATATGAAGCATAACCCAATAAAGATAATTTGTGTTTTTTTTCTGTGTATGTGTGCGAGTGTAAAATAACAACAAAATGTAAACGAAAGACATTTTTATATAGATGGATATGGTTTATAAAATGATGGTATTTGTATTAGATTAGCTACAAGTCGATCAATAGAATGATCTGATTCATAATCAATTACTAATGTTGATGGATGATACAGTGATAATTGAGGAAGTAACATTCGAAGTAATGTCCAAACATTTGTACGTAATGAAATAAGACTATTTTGATGTGAACATGGTATATGATTTGAATCATCTGTTGAACAATTACTATTTGAACGTGAATTTTGTGAATCACTAATGCAAAAATAAAAAATAAAAATAACATGATTTGAATAAATAATAAACTTACTCAAGAGATTTTTTTTCATCAGGAATTAAAATTTTCTCAGTGAGAAAGCATGTTGAAAAGCTAGTTTTATCATTATTTACTTTGATCTTTTCATTTTTATTTATATGGGTTGAATAATTAGTATTCATATTAAGAACACGTGCACGTTTTGCTTCTGATATTGTCGTGTTAACCACATGAGATATACTATGTTGACGTTCATGTTTCGACATATGTCTATAAAAAAAAGATTAGAGAGAATTAATTATATAATTGTATCAATATTTAATCATGAGAATAAATAAAAAAACACTCATTATCCAAATTAGATAAAACACTTTCATAATTATTTTAAACTTTGATGTGATATTTTTGTCATGCAGAAAATTTTATTTTTAAAATAAGAATTCATCGAACCTGATATTAATTGTTGAATAATTGCATTTTTGACATCGAAGAACACGATTATTTAAATGGCATCTCTATAAATAATAAGAATAAGAATAATAATAGTAATACATAACGAAAATAAAAAAATCTTACTATGTGACAATCATATTTTGATTTTAGTAAAGTTGCATATGAACAAAGATGACATTGTCGAACATTAACACCGAGTTCACCATGTTCTTGAAATAAATGTTCACGAAAATTATTTATATCTTTAAATGTACGTGTACATTGACTACATATATGAACTAATTTAGTTGGTTCTGTTGAATTTGATCTTTAAGAAAATTCGAAAC